TCCTCCCATAAAGCATAGCTTCTGTCAGCTGGACTCATAAATCTGCTAATGACCCTTGAAGGCCAGCTTTGTGCCCCTTAGGCAGACATCTGGGGCCCTTTGTTAGACAAGTCCAGCTACCCACCCCACCCCCTACCTCCTATTGTACACACACGGACGTGGCTTCTTTGCCTCCTCACACCATCCCAAGAGCTCTTGGTGTCCCATCTGTCCATCAGGGCCCTGGGCTCCAGGCCTGCTCTACCTGTGTGACCCCTAGCATTTACCTCACCTCACCTCACCTCACAGCTTCCCGAGAAGCTAACTCCTACATTCATTTCTCCCTCTACTGGAATGAGTGTGTGTTTCTCTCATGGGAACTTGCCTGGGTTTATGAGGACAAGTGGATCAACGTCCCTCAACAGCCAGAGCCAACAAGATCCAGGAATGCGGGGACAATGGACCAGAGTAGAGCATTGAATAGTGACCTCCAAGAGAACTGGCCCCTGTGAATGCAAATCAGCTACACAAAGGTCATTGCAAACGTCAGTGAAGAACCTCAGCACCAAGCCACTTGGAGTAGCATAGACTCCTAGGACAGTTTATTCCCAAAAGACACAGATATTACAGGCCTGGTCCCCAGTCCGTGGTATTAGAAGTTGTGGAAGCCTTAGGAGGAGCCAAATGTCAGAAACTGGGGTGACTGGGAATGTACCATCAGACTGTGGGACTGTGGGACCCAGACCTTCCTCATTCTCTTTTACTTCCCTGCCCATGCAGTGAGTGGTTTTGTTCTGTCACGTGCTCCCATAAAGTACCATCTTGCCACCAACTCAAAAACTGTGAGAGACTGCTCTGTGGCCTCACCAGCGGGCCACCAGGCTCCTCACTCAGAAACTAAAGGAGCGCTTCTCACCACACGCCCACACTGTCTCTGGTTTCCCTTGTGGACCAGGAGCAAGTCCAGCTGGATCCCCAGCCAGGACTTGTGGTGTATGAAAGGCTCCCCTAAAGGACTCGGAAAACAGAAGACAAAGAAGTCACAGCGTGTAACTGCTCTTAGCTGTGCTACCCTACCCACAAGCTCCATTTAGGGGACTTTTTCTTTCAGAAGTTAATTATTCTCATGCTTAGAATTTATTTCCACCTGGGCCCCAAACCAAAGGCCACAGCACAAAGCGGGGCTGTTGTGGAAGCTGAGGCTCCTGCAGAGGCCACACCGGGGTCAGAATCAACGGCACTACCTTGGGCAGGGAACCAGCAGAAGGCTATTTCTGAAGCCATAAAGGCTCTAAACGCCCTGCACTGCAATTAATAAATATCATTGTTGATAGACAGAAACAAAACCCGCCTTCACGTCTTGATTTGGTGGCCCGTTTGGTGAAGCACTTACGAACAGGCTCGGCCAACATACACACATAATGGCTTTAATTACATCCTGTGAATTTATTTTTCCAGAGAGAAATATTTCTGAGGGGAAATGTCCATAAAAGCAGCTTTAGCAGAGTGTGGTTGTGTGTGCATTTCCTATAGGAAATCTGTTTAGTTTAAATCCCAGCCTAAGGGCAAAAGACAGGGGACCCAGAACAGCCTGCTGACAGCCCAGAGGGGTGGTGTCTGGGGCCACTGTGCCCTTTGCTCTTTGCCCCTGAGATGACTCTCTCAGTTCTGCACTCAGTAATTCAGACCTATTCTTAGGAGAACGAAGGGGGCTATGCTTTCACGGCTGCATGCTGGGTACTGTTGTCCTCCCATGTGAGAACCCTCCCGGTTAGTAGGACAAGGACAACAAAGACAGGTTTGAGATGGAATTCTATTTTCTTAGTAATACGTGGAGTCACAACGTCAACTCTTTTCCAGGGACCCATTCTCACTGAGATCCCTGAGAGCTGGCCACCTCCCCAACTGTTGTTGTAAAGTAACTTTTTTTTTTTTTTTTGGTTTTTCGAGACAGGGTTTCTCTGTGGTTTTGGAGCCTGTCCTGGAACTAGCTCTTGTAGACCAGGCTGGTCTCGAACTCACAGAGATCCGCCTGCCTCTGCCTCCCGAGTGCTGGGATTAAAGGCATGCGCCACCACCGCCCGGCTAACTTTTGAATTCTAGCACACACACACACACATCAATGTTATATTAACATGTCTCCATATGCCACTTCTCTTTTTTTTTTACATCACCAATACGAACCATACTTTGTAACTTCCTGAATCTTTGGCTCTCCGGCTTCCATGACAGGCCTAACATCCAAGCACCTGATCTGCACTGATAGATGCTGAACCCTGTAGTAGGAGCTGCGGGGCTGCATTCCGCCACCCAGCTCCCGCCACCAGCTACCTTTACCCGAAATAACAACACACAAACTGTATTCTTTTAAACACTGCTTGGCCCATTAACTCTAGCCCTTACAGGCTAATTCTCACATCCCGATCAACCCATCTCTAATAATCTGAGTAGCATCAGTCTTACCGGGAAAGATTCAGCATGTCTGACTGGCAGCTTGCTTCATGGCGTCTGCCCGGGAGAGGGGAGCATGGCCTCTGTCTGAGGCGTCTTACCTCACTTCCTCCCAGCATTCTGTTCTGTTTACTCCTCCCACCTATGTTTTAACCTATGAGGGCCACGCAGTTTCTTTATTATAATTAACCAATGACCTTCCTCCATCAGAACCCAAGCGCATGAGGGAATTTTTAAACACAATGAAGTTGCCTCCAGTTACTTCAGTCCTATCCAGGCCCACTTTCAGGCGCTGAAGAGACAGCTCAGAGGGCAGAGTGCCTGTAGTACAAGCACGAAGGGTTGAGTCTGTATCCCAGCACCCACATACGAAGTGGCACAGGCACAGCCACACAGGAGTACAGCCCCAGTGCTGGGGGAGGAAAGGGACAAGACTGGAGGATCATGATCTTGCTGGCCAACCAGCCTAGCTGGCAAAAAAAAAAAAAAAAAGAGTTCCAAGTTCAGTGAGACTCTTATTAAAGGGTAAGAAAGGGTATGGAACATTCAACATCCTTCTCTGGCGTCTGCATACAGGCATGAACACATGCACACACATGCATATACCACACACACATGCATGAGCACACCACACCACACGTACGTAAATAATCCACGTTGCCCATGTCCTTACTCACAAACATATAAAATTGTGACCTTGGTATATACGTATACTCCTTGCTTTCGTTTTTATCATAAGTTTAAATTTTTTTTAGATTTTTTGTTTATGGATGTTTGCCTGTATATGTGTGTGCCGAGGGAGTTCAGAAGACAATGGAGCCCCTGGAGCAGGAGTTACTGATGGTTCTAAGTCACCATGGACCTGCACCCAGGTCCTCTGTAAGAATAGCAGATGCTCTTAACCCCTGAGCCATCTCTCCAGCCCTTGTCATGAGCTTAATGCTTCATTTATCTGGACAAAATTTTCTCTCTGTTACACAAAATGTTTCTGATGTCACAGTGTGTGTATGTGGGGGTGGGGGAGGATCAAGATATAGTTAGAAAAGAGATGTCCAAAAGTCAGAGTTTACATAGTTTCATGGATTAGATACCTGACTCATCCTCGGAATGGAAACTGCTAGAATACCATATACAATGTAATAAGTACCTTCTTCAACTCTGCAGTAATACCTTTTCTCAATAAATGCCAAGCAAGGCCCTTGGTAGGGAGAGGCATAACACATCAGAAAGACAGATCACAAACAACAGACAGAAGGAAGGAAAATTCAAATTTTGGTTCATACTTGGTCAAGAAAGTAACAAGCAAGCAGGGTCTGGAGGTGACTGGAGCCCCGCCCACTCTCTCCAGAGGCCTCTTTGCTCTGTAGATATTGTGACCTTCTACGACTTAGGAGTCCAAGTATTTTAACAGCAAGATGGATGTCTTGACAGGTTTAAAAATAAAGGAATGAAGAGGTCTTGAGTTTTAGAGGCAACAGGAGAGCTCTCTTGGAGGAGCAGCCTGCTGCGCCTGGCCCCTCTGAGGCTCTGAGAGGGTTGGGGAGCAGCGGCTGTGAGGATCCCAGAAGAAATGCGTCTGTGCACAGTATTGCAGGCCGCAGGGCTTACGTGGAGCACTTCCAGGATGTTTTCAAACTACTTCAACCAACTTAATGCTTAAAACCCGCAGCTAAAGAGATTTTCTGTTTGCTTATTTGTGCCCATCAAAAATAGAGGGTGAACTTGGCTAGTTCAGGCAGCTTGGAAAAGCAAGGGAAGATCACCAAATCCTTTGTCAACACTAACTGGACGCCTGCCCACCCCAAATTCTCACTGGCACTCCAGGCACAGCAGGGAGGGTAACTCTGTCTTCACATATTTACTCACTATTAGTTTGTGTAAAGTTGACCACTGAGAGGAAAACAAGTCCGAAGGTTAGCCCTGAGCTGCTGCTTCAACTGTGTGTCTGGGTCTGTGTATGAGTGCATGTGCAGAAGGGAACTTAGGCCTCACCTTCCTCCTCATCTGAGGCAGGGGCTTGTTTGCTGCTGCAGAGACCAGGCTGGTCCAACCCCTGGGGATTACCTATCTCTGTCTCTCATCCTGCTGGAGGATGCCCTGGGACTGCAGATGTGAGTTACCACATCTGGCTGTTTTACGTGGGTGCTGGGGTCCCGACTCAGGTCCTCACACTTGCATAGTGAACGCTTTACCCACTGCATCCGGGCTATTTCCACACACTTCCTCTAAGCCCAGATTAGCATCGGCTGAGTCTGTAACTTCAAGTCCACACTTCTAGAAAACTTACGAACCACAGGACGGAAAGAACTAGGGATACCACTTCTGTACTCTCTCAAAATAATTTGTACATCTCAAGACAGACAGTCACACACAAAGGCCTTCAGAAATGTCACAAGTGATCTTTAACCTTCAGCAGAGGATGAGCAGGCTCATAAAGTGTCAGTCACTACAGGAAAAGCAGTGTGTCCCAGTATGGATGAGAAGTTATTTCCCCTGAACACACCCGAATATTAAAAATCCAAAAGCTTGCAACCTTTTTTGCATCAACTTGACAATCTGTACACTTATAGGAAAAATAGGTGATTATTTTAATGATTTATGTATAAAAGAAAAATAAAACTTTATGGTACAATCTGATAGACTACAGAATATAAAATTTACTCACATACAGTGTATATAATTTTGCAACATAAAAATTCTATTCATATATACAAATTCAAAAAGTTTTTATATATATCTTAACTTGGGCTGCATAGGGTTCACTTAGGGTTATGGCTAAGTCATTCAATTTATTAGAAAAGAGATTATGAACATACAAAAGACTATTGACAAACAATCCTTCCCTCCCCCTCAAACTATTCAGAAGCATCTGGTTGGCAGAGTAGTGTGCTGTGCTTCAGCAAGGAGAACTCCTACCAGCTGAAGGGAGTCTACATACTGTCCCTATAGCCCCCAGTTGAGAACTCGGCTGCTGCCTTCCACTGACTGAGAAACACTAGCTGTGCCGTGTGTAAGTCTTTAGGAAACAAAATGTGCTCAGGCAGTCTTCACACTTACCAGGGCTCGCCTTGGTGAACATAATAAATACTCAGAAACATGAGGGTCATCTCAGACCTTAAGCCGGTAAGAACCTCCAAAGACAGTGAGACCCTTTATACAATAATTCAAGACCTTAGGAAGTATTTACAGTACTTTATGTAGGCGAAAAACTGAATATAAACCATAAAAAAATAATTTATGCACCTTTAAAAAAGGAAAACAAACACAAACTCTAAGTTGGTGTACTCTCTTCCTTAGTCTCTCGGCACTCCCAGCTCTTGGTGCATGCACCTACATGAAGGAAAAGAACTGTGCTGCCCTTCACGCTACAAGGTCTGGGGGCCTGGGGGACTGCTTATCCATGGGGAGTACCCTAGAGGCTGAAGAAAGCCAAGGAGGCGGCCCGGGACAGTTTCCCATCAGACAACGTCCATAAAGGCCAGACTGAATTCTCTTTCGGCATCTGAACTTCAAGGGTCAAGAAAAGCAGACAGCAGGGCCATGAGGGGACTGCCCCGAAGCACGGGCAATAGTAAGAGGGCAGCATTCCCACACAGGTGACAGGCACCTTACAAGGACACAGGCTGAAATGACCCCTTTCAGGTAGAAATCAAAATGTAACTTAATCATTTCAAGCCTCGTTCTATTTTTAAGTACCCACCAAAAAGTACACAATCACTCTTTGCTTGGTGCTGGTAGGAAGTCAGTCCTCCTGGGAGACTCAAAAGCCGAAATAAAGACCTGCCGTTTCCCCAGTGGGGTGACACAACTTACCTGCTAGAAAATTCGGGGGCAGGATTAAACAGGCTTCAGCAGAAAACATATTTGCCAAAGAACAAAGAAACAAGCCCTCCCACAAAGGCGAGCTGAAGACTAAAGTAGCGAGCACTGCAGCTGGAAGGAGGTAAAACAACACGGCCTTTTAATAAGTTTAGCGCCTAAACCCAAAGTTCTGTAGCTAGCTGGGTCCGGGCATCTGCAGTCCATTTTCTCAACAGACTGGGACTCAGAGTGACAGTTTCCTGCCTTTTCTCCCATCATGAGGATGGGGGCTCCATCTCTGCAGGACTGGCCGTTCACCTTCGGGACGTCAGGTTGATACTATGCACCATTTTCTGGATCTTCTCCTCGTTCTTTAGGATGTTGGCCTTTATGGCACAGATCTTGTCCTGCTGGTCTTTGATCTGCTGCTCCAGCTCAGACAGCTCGGCCTTCAGGGGTTCCACTGCACTGTCTGTGATGCTGGGGGGTGGAGGGAGACAACGAGCGGCTCATTAGTGTCCTGAGAGTTCCGTCTGTGACACTTCCTCCAACCCAAAAGCCAAGAGTTAAGTGTCAGACCCCTAAGATGGTGCCAAGCACCACTCACAACCGGCAGGCCTACAGTGCAAGCAACCCTGAGAATGCCAAGCTTGTTAACTTCCCACAAAACCAGGAGAGCCCGGGGCTTTATGCTGGCATAACAGAGAGCTGCTTCCCCAGCCCATGTAAGATTCCCTTTAAAAGTAAGATGAGAAAAAAACTAATATTTCCTCAGTGACAGGTTTGAAGTCCTCAAAGTATACACACAAAAAGAAGCGAGGGGCAACAGGAAAGTGGGCTACCGAGTCCCCACAGACAGTGGGACCCAGCCTGGACCAGCCAGGAGACACCTCTCCTCTGGATAAGGCTCACAGGACTTAGAGGGGCTCCCTCTGCCCATGCCCTATTTGTTCAGCAGGGACAGGTGACCTCTTCACTCTTGGGCAGAGCACTGGAACAAGCACAGACTATGCCTCAGAATGCTGGAGTCAAACGTAACCTTTCCCTGCAGGCTGCTAAAGCCTATAACAGCCCTTTGCTGCAGTAGAGCAGGGTCAGGTTTTACAAGCAAGGCTCTCAGGGCTGACACTTGAATCAGCACTAGTGGTCTCGGTGATTTTTTAGATTTCATCATGTTGCATACTTAAAAATTCATAGGACTAAACATAATAGTAAGAAAGAACCCCACATTTGTTGTCTAATACAAATACAAAGCGGTCAGTCCTGAAACCATATGCACACAATAAAAGCAGACTTAGCAGGAGTGTTTACGTATTTGTGTACACACAGATATACATATACAATCAAAAAGAAAAGGCTATCCATTTGAGAGTGGGGGCATCAGAGGCGCTGGAGGGATACTTAGGATGGGCTGGAGGAAAGAAAATAGGAAAAGTGATAAAAGTGATGTGTAATTCTACTATGAAATTAATTTCTTTCTTTTTTTTTTTTTTTTGGTTTTTCGAGACAGAGTTTCACTGTAGTTTTAGAGCCTGTCCTGGAACTAGCTCTTGTAGACCAGGCTGGCCTCGAACTCACAGAGATCCGCCTGCCTCTGCCTCCCTAGTGCTGGGATTAAAGGCGTGTGCCACCACCGCCCGGCTGTTGAAATTAATTTCTCAGAAAATTAATTAATTTTCTCAGAAAATTCGGGATCAACCTACCCCCGGACCCAGCAATACCACTCTTGGGAATATACCCAAGCGAGGCCCTATCATACAATAAAAGTATATGCTCAACTATGTTCATAGCAGCATTGGTTGTAATAGCCAGAACCTGGAAACAACCTAGATGTCCTTCAATGGAAGAATGGATGAAGAAAGTATGGAATATATACATATTGGAGAACTACTCAGCAGTAAAAAACAAGGACTTCTTGAATTTTGCATGCAAATGGATGGAAATAGAAAACACTATCCTGAGTGAGGTAAGCCAGACACAAAAAGAGGAACATGGGATGTACTCACTCATATTTGGTTTCTAGCCATAAACCAAGGACATTGAGCCTATAATTAGTGATCCTAGAGAAGCTAAATAAGGAGAACCCAAAGAAAAACATATAGGCATCCTCCTGAATATTAACCTTCAGCAAGCGATGAAAGGAGACAGAGACAGAGATCCACATTGGAGCACAGGACTGAATTCTCAAGGTCCAAATCAGGAGCAGAAGGAGAGAGAGCACGAGCAAGGAACTCAGGACCATGAGGGGTGCACCCACACATTGAGACAATGGGGATGTTCTACTGGGAACTCACCAAGACCAGCTGGCCTGGGTCTGGAAAAGCCTGGGATAAAACTGGACTCTCTGAACATAACGGACAATGAGGACTACTGAGAACTCAAGAACAATGGCAATGGGTTTCTGATCCTACTGCACGTACTGGTTTTGTGGGAGCCTAGGCAGTTTGGATGCTCAACTTACTATACCTGGATGGAGGTGGGGGGTTCCCTGGACTTCCCACAGGACAGGGAACCCTGATTGCTTTTCGGGCTGAGGGGGGGGGGAGACTTAATTAGGGGAGAGGGAGGGAAATGGGAGGCGGTGGCTGGGAAGAGACAGAAATCTTTAATAAATAAATAAATTTAAAATAAAAAAAATGAAAAAAAGAAAAGACAGTACAGTTTCATTTTGGCATGGCAGTACACATTTTCAATCACAATGCTCAGAGGCGGGTGATCTCTGTGAGTTCAAGGCCAGCCTGGTCTACATAGTGAAGTCTAGGCCATCCATGCTACACTGTGAGACCCTGTCTAAAAAAACAAACAAAAAAAAAAAAAGGAGGGAGGGGAACCAATTCTAACTCAGCTTTTTCGTAACATGAATTTACAAATTTATCATTCAGTCATATCATATGTTCTGGGAAAAAAAGGGTCACACATTAAACCACATGCTTCTAGATTACTGACTACAAACACAGGACACCTTTCTAAAGAAATCTGCTCTAAATAAAACAACTCTCTAAATAAATCTCACTTCTCAGTGGCTAGTCTATTTCTTTAGTAACAATTCTGAACGAGCTCATCAGTATCTCACTCATAGCCCTTACCTCCCTCTCCCCTCCTGCAGCCCCCAGCTCTCCCTCCCCTCCTGCAGCCCCCACCTTTCCCCTCCTGCAGCCCTCACCCCCTCCCCTCCTCCTGCAGCCCCTACCTCTGCTCCTTGCTCAGGGCCTCGGCATGCTGCCTGTTCTCGCTGTGCCACAGCTGCAGCTCGTTCTGCATGGCATCGACGTCCTCCTGGATGTAGTCCATGATCTTCCCCAGGGGCAGTGCGCTCTTACACAGGGTCTGGATGGACACGCGGAGCTTCTCTATCTCCTTCGACACAATGTCCTTCTCCTTCTTCCAGGCTGACTCAAAGATCAGTGAGCGCTCCTTCAGTTAGGGGAAGCAGGAAGATAAAGTCTTTAGGAGTGAGCTAGGCAAGTTAGAGGCAGCAGAAGGAAAACCTGAGGACCAGAACTTATCAGAAACTAAAGTGTGTACTCTGCAGATTCCTCGAGAAGCTGGAAAGACAAGTGGAGGACGCATGCACAAATCACCCTGTACAGAGAAGACACGGACAGTCAGCGAGCACAGAGAGCTCACAAAATTCAGTGGCAGCGAGTAGATAAACCAACATGAAGAGGGACAAGAGACAGAGGGTTCATTGGAGGTGGCACGTGGCCAGCAGTAAGCCATGAAAATGTGTCTAAGAACACCAGCGGCTCCAAGCGCAATGCCAGGTGCAGGAAGAAGAAGCTGGGTCTCTAGTGATTGCTGGTGAGGCAGTCTGGGGTGTCTTTAAAGGCTATCCCAGGCTACAGCTTGAATAACAAAGGGGCCTTTGAAAGGTGACTGGGTAACAGGGGGTCTCTCTTCACCCTGGAGAACTTCACAGTTAGGAGGTGGGGCCTGGCAGGAGGAAGCCGGCATGGGGAGCTGCCTTTGAGAGTGCAGCTTGCTCCTGCCATCTCCGCTCCCTCTGCTCCTCAGCTGCAGGGGTGAGCAGCTGTGCTCTGCTGCCAGCACACCCTCTCCACCATGATGCTCAGCCTCGCCGTGCCCCCAACCCGCCCTGTCCCCCCCTCCCAGCAATGGAGCTGACTCAGCACAGGTGGAAGCCCCAGAAGCTGCAAACCAAAGCACAACTCTCTCCCCTGAAGATGTTTTCCTCAGGTATTCTGTCACAGTGACAGAGAGGCGATTAATGCACAGACAGTCTAGCAAAGGAACAGTCAAACATTTACTCAGAAAAAAATTAAACTTACATTCACAATAAAATCTATACATAGCAGGGCAGAAGTGGCACACACCTTTAATCTCAGCTTTCGGGAGGCAGAGGCAGGCGAATCTCTAAGAGCTCAAGGCCAGCCTGGTCTACAGAGTGAGCTCCAGAACAGCCAGGGCTACACAGAGAAACTGTCTCGGAAAAAAAAAAAAACTATGTATAAACATTGACATTTTATTCAAGCTAGTTACAAGCTGGACACAGTGGCATATGCTTGTAATTCCAGAACTTGGAAGGTAGAACCAGGAGGATCAGAAGGTCAAAGTTATCCTCAGGTACAAAGCCAGTTTGAGGTCAGCTTGAGATCTGTCACAATAAAGATAAAAATAAAGGAAAACAAACAAACAAACAAAAAGTAGTCACAAGCTAGAAATAGCCCACATATGTTAAATAAACTATGGTATATCAATACCATGGAAGATATACAGCAACAAACACACACACATGATCACCTGGACAACTCGTGGAGAACTATGCCAAAGGAAAAACCCTGCTAAGCTATAAACTGAGTCCTCTCATATATACAAGCTTGAAACGCAGAAGGACAGAAGCAGGGGCACGCACACTACTGACGGCCTGGAACAAAAGGTGGGAGAGAACAGGTTAAGTTATAAAAGGGCACTGAGAATGATCGTGTGACAGGAACGTTCTGGAGCTTGACTATGCTAGTGTCGGTAACCGGGGTGTGGGGGAAACCCCAAAGGCGAGGTGGGGGGCTTCAGAGCACATTTCCAGTGCTTTCCACAGCTCAGAGAGATCCAAGGGTACCTCAAATTAAAATGCTTTTGTTAAGAGAGATGGGAAAGCCAGGCATGGTGGTACATGCTTGTAATCCTAGAGTCAGAAGTGGAGACAGGCAGGTGGGCTTGCTGGCCAACCAGCCTGCCTACTAGGTGAGTGAGACACCTTGTCCAGTAAGAAAAGGCAAACAAGCTAGACAGACAGCTCCGTGCTTAGAAGGACTGGCTCTCTTTCAGGAATCCAGGTGCAATTTCCAGCACCCACATGGCAGCTAACAACATCTGTAACTCCAGTTACAGGGGGTCAAACCCTTCTGGCTTCTATGGGCACTAGACATACACACATAGTACACAGACATATATGAAAGCAAAACACCCATATACATAAAAAAACAACTTTTTTTTTTTTTTTTTTTTTGGTTTTTCGAGACAGGGTTTCTCTGTAGCTTTGGAGCCTGTCCTGGAACTAGCTCTGTAGACCAGGCTGGTCTCGAACTCAGAGATCCGCCTGCCTCTGCCTCCCGAGTGCTGGGATTAAAGGCGTGCGCCACCACCGCCCGGCTTAAAAAAACAACTTTTTTTAAGGTGGACAGTGCCTGAAGAACTTGATACCCGAGGTTGTCCTCTAACCTCTACTTGCACAGACGGCACATATTCATGTATACGCATACACATCTGCGTGCGCACACACACACACGGGAGTGATTCTATAAAACCTTTTAAACTAAAACACTAATGACTAAAAGGAGAATAACTACTTCTAAGGGGAAAATGAAGTATATTATATGCAAATCAGTAGGCCTCTCTACATCTGCTGCTGCAGAAGCTGAGCAAATGCAGAACAGCCATACGCTTACAGAACCATTTCTCTCTAACAGGAGCAGAGTCGAGCACGGCACAAGCTACCATGATGTTGAGTGACAGAAAGCAAACTGGGTCCTGTACAGTGGGCAGGGGCAGATCTCCTGCAAGGCGGGATCCAGATGTGAAGGAGAATTGGAGCAGTCTCTGGGAAGGAACACGCAGGGGAGGCTGGGGGCTGGGGAACAGGGAGTGTCACAGGTGGGAGACAATTGACTAGTGATGCACTGGGAAGGTAGGGACCGGGGGAAGCATATCTGTCTTTGGTTAGTTGTTTCATGTTTTGTTTTGTTTTAAGATGGGGTCTCAACTGGCCTCAAACTTGCTATGTAGCCAAGGACAACCTTGAACTTCTGATCCTTTTCTCCACCTCCTGAGTGCCAGGATAACAGGACTGTGCCACCAAGCGTAGCTTAGGAGAGTATTTCAGTCATGATTTTTTAAGTAGAAGTCTTTCATTGCATTGTTGAAACCCCACAGATCAGTCTCACACTCCGGGATCCTGTTTCAGCAACCCCATCTTACCAGCCAGCCTCTGCACTGGTCCTTTACAGAGACACAGGTAACATCCACTCCACACCCCTGCCCACCGCGGCCTCGTTTCTAACTGCTGTGACTTGTGATTTGAAACAATGTCAGTATCATTCTGAATCAGAACCAACTCAGCTTCAAGGCCGCAGACACTCAACAGGCATCTGAGCTCACCTGGACCCTGCACACATATTCTTGAGGCTCATTCTCCTGAATGACAAGACTGATGAGGTGAGAATGCACAGGCCATGTGACACTGTGATCATGTTCTGTGCACAGTCACAGACTCAAGGACCTCTCTATTAAAAAACAAACCCAAATTCCCCCAAACTAACAGACCTCTTCTTAAGTTTTCTGAAGGAAACCAATCCTAGAAATAATAATAGTTAATATTGTTATTGTATTAATAGTAGTTATTATACAATAAAGCTGCTGTTATTATACTATATATAAAAATAATTATTATTATAATTATTATATAATATATTATAATTATTATTATTGCTATTAAGGTCATTGAGGAAACAGCACTGAGTATGTCCCCTCTGCCCCTCTCACAGAATGTCAATGGAAACAATGTCCCTAAGAAATCAACTCAAGCAATACAAGAATCACAGGTAAACGAAGCCAAAATAAAAACACTTGTGTCTGGAACTGAGCTTCAGAAAAGGGCATTCTCTAGAACCGCTCACTGGGAGTTGACATGCGGCTGATGATATCACGCCACCTGGCGGCCAAGTAAGAATCTGAGGGGCAGCCCAGATGACCAAACAAGGAACCAAAATCCCTCACAGGAGACTCAGTTAAACAGACTGAACAAGGCTATTTACCTAAATTAAAATATAACACGGGAGGGTTATTTTGTTCATTAAGAGGCATCTGAAGATACAACATGTTTTTACATTTCCCCGGTTTTTTTCTACCGTGTCTCATGCAGCCCGGCTGGCCTCCAGCTCCTAGGATTACAGGAATATGCCACCATGCCCTGTTTTAAATGCTCCTCTGTGATATCACCCATAATTTCCTGACAGTTGTTATCTTTTTCTTTTAATAAATATAAGCAGGTCACAGGTGACAAACAACCAGATCCCACCGGACACCAACAGGACCTGATTCACAGGAGCAGGAGGCAAAAAAGCAAAATCACAGGGACTTTAAACCAACCGGGTGAGAACAAAACCCATGGGAAGAATGTTTCAGTAGCTACCTCTGAACAAGAGCATTTACATCTGATCAGAGCAAACCGAAATAAAGAGGAGCCAAGAGGCAGCAAGATTTAAAAAAAAAAAAAAGACCTGAAGACCTCGAGAGAGAAGCAGTCAAATGCGTTAGACGCGAACTCTGTTTGTGACTACTCACACAGTGCACAGCGCCTTCGCCTACCAACTTCAGGAAGCAACAACTGTTAGAGGGGAAAGGACACTATGAAAACTGAATTTTGAGTTGCTTTTCAAAAAGTTTTCATGAATTTTAACTAAGGAAAAAGTGCCAGTGGAAGCTAGTAATCCTAGTGTATAACCTCTTGAGAAGCAAGCATATAACTGGGAAAATGCATAAAGCATTTAATACAATAAACATACAATTATAAAATCAATAATACAGTAAATATGATCCATGTATTTATTCTATCACATGTAGTTCAAGTCCATTAGCACAGCAAGAAATCTCTTTCCTTCCAATGAACTTCAAAGCCAGGCTGGAGGAATACCCAGATTAGAAATATTAGAAATAATAGAAATAGAAGTGACAGGACAAAAGGTACGCCTGATTCATGAGTCTGGTCCAGAAGCACTTAGCTAAGCACTTAGATGGAGGGGAGGGAGGAGGGATGAACACAGTCTGCTGGCAACAGGCAGCTGCTGTGCTCGAGCTGAGTGGGATGTACATTTAGGTGAAAGTGTCGGCATGGAGCTGGGAAGAGGATTTACTCAGCCGGTAAAGCGCTCACTGCTGAACATGAGGTCCTGAGTTCA